CTGCTTGATGTCACTCACTACTAGGATCACACTAGAAACACTAAAGCATCACTGGTCTCATTAAAAGTAAAATGAACTTTGGCAGTGCTTCATACGAAATAAGGAAATAGTCTTGAGCAGGAGTGTGGAAAGACTAGTGTTTAGCACCCAAAGTTAGAGTTGGTGTAACCAAAACTCAAGTGGTGTGTGCCTATAAATCCTAGTACTCAGGAGGTATAGGTAGAGAAACTATGCAAGCTTGAGGCAACTTTGGTGTCCAGGCCAGCCAAGGTTACATTGTGTAATTCGCCCCTAAAATACACAAAACATTCACGTAACAGTGAATGAAAAAATATTCATCCAGACATTCCAAAAAGAGATTTTAACCTCACAGGAGTTTTTAATAATGAAAAAAATATCACTTTGTACTTTGAAATCAACATAATCTAGATAAATTAAGCAGGGATACTTTATTACTAGCAAATGTATTAGATCAAATATGACCATGCCGGAGTCAGCAGCATCTGAAATAGATACTGCTTTATTAGCAAATTGGGCTCATTCTAGGATTGCAAGTGTGATTTATTACTACAAAGTCCCGAAGGCTACTTGCTGTACTAATAAAGAAAAAAAGTGATAGATTAATGGTGATATCATTCCTGCTTTTTAAACAAAGGAAGTATTTTTCTTAACCTGATAGATGGTGTCTGTTAAAAACAAAGAAATGTAACCGATGTCATCATCCTCTATCGTCTGAGGGTACACTAAGTTGGGACTAATGCTGGGGCATCTGTCATTACCTGTTTTTGACATTGCAAAACTGTACAACATGTTTATCACAGTGCAAGATTCAGAAAGGGGACAAAATAGCCATTGTGGATAGATGTGATTGTCTACTTGTAATATAGTAAGGAAACGGTGTGAAAATTGTTCTGTGGAGAAAAGTAGTTTTGTCTTCTCTGAGACACTGCCGTCTCTGACATGGTTTCTTACATATGCACCCTAAAACTACTGTTTCCCAGCAATAGGTGAGAATCTTGTTCTTTATCCCAGCTCCTAAGATGTTGGTAATTCCTAGGTGATAAGAGTTTCTGAGATGATTCTTGCCAGGAGGATCGACCACATGATTAGAAGGTGGAACTCTGAACACATTTTCTGGCAAGGGAAAATGTGCTGGGGGATATTGATACCAATGGCCAGTAATGTAACATCAATTAGATCACATAAGAAAGCTGCCATAAACACCTAAAGGGGATGGAGTGACTCATTTCTATCATCCGACCACTTGGAAGACTGAAGTAGAAGGGTTTCAAATTCCAGGCTCCATTGAGGTGCTAGTCAGAACGCCAGATTATATACACACAGCTCAAAGAGCAGTTAAGAGCTTCCTAATCGGTGACTGTGTGATGGTTCCTGGATGATGGAGTGCCCAAGGAAGAGCCAAAGTTCTGCCCTTGGCCATCAGGCTGTTGACTTGTGTCCTTTTATTATAAGCAACAAGCTGGTAAACATGTTTCCTTGGACCCTGCTGTAGCAAATTAATGAAATTATAGTGAGAGCTTCAATTATCAGTCAGCTGACAGGGATAGCAAACTACTGTCTGCAATTTGCATCTAAAGTGGGGCTCAGTTTTGAACCTGTTGGAATAAGACACTATCTCTAGGTAAGTGGTGTTGGAAATTATTCCTAAGTAATGTCTGTTTAGGTATTACTTGGTTTATAAGAAAACTCCCTCACACATAGCCTGCAGACATATACATCCACACAAGGAAGAAAGTTCTTTTCCTCTCAGAATTGTACTTTGATTTTCTCTCAAAGGCCTCTTGAAGCTAAAAGGCCACTACTCTCCCACCTCAGATCATGAAAAGGTAATAAGGGAAGTATGTGAAAGACGCCAGGGTTTCTCTGACCTGGAGATCAACTGAGAATGCCTTTATTGTGATACCATGCAATCCTGATACCTTGAGGCATCTGTGTGAGTATCTGGGAGTGGGGAGAGCATAAGGATTTCTTGTGGGGTCAGGGAGTCTTTGAGTAGCTCAACAATTGGTAGATGAGATGAAAATCCAGCATCACAAAAAGTCAGGGCCACTGACATTTGGAAATATTAGCATGGGGCATAGAAGCTTTTTGCCTGGATAAGGAGCAGATGGGTACTAGGCTGACCCTTTCAACTGTTCATCTTCATAATTAAAGTAAATCTCACACCTGTGGTAGAAAATTACCTCAGGACCCAAAGACAGCCATGGGTAGAATACATTTACTGTAGTAAACACAAAGGCTTACTATCAAGAGATAATAACTGTGTTGCAGGAATTTTTAGTTTGGAAGAATAGCTAAAGGGCAATTTCTAGTTAACTCCTTGTCACCAGGCAGATTTAAAAGTTACTTTATTTGCATGTCTCTGGTGTGCACATACACATTTGTGTTCCCTGTGTGTGCAGGCACACATGGACATGTGTCTAGAGACTCAAGGTTGACCTCAGGTGACTCTGGACCGCTTTCTACCTTACATATTGAGGCACAGTCTCTTGACAACCCAGAGCTTATCTGTTTCTGCTACTCTGCCTAGCCAACTTGTTCTTGGGAGGTCCAGTTGGGCTCTCACACACACCCAGTTTTCAAGTGGGTTCTACCCCTTTTCTCCACGCCCCCAAAAGAATTTACTTCTCTCTTTTTCTCTTTTCAAAACGGTTTCTCTATGTAGCTCTGGCTATACTGGAATGCACTGTTTAAACCAGGCTGGCCTCCAACTCAAAGAGATCCACCTGCCTCTGCCTCCATAGTGCTGGAATTAAAGGCGTGTGCTGCCGCCACCACCTGGCTAGAATTCACTCTTAAAAGCTTTTTTGTAAGAAGCTATATATACGTTTTGCTTCTAAACACTCTGTTTAATAGAATTCTACTGGAGCAATACAGCTTATCTCAGTACTGAGACAAACTTCTTGTAAAATCATCCCCTGGTCTGTTTTCATGGAAAGAACAGTTTCTATCAAGAGACCTCAGTCCCACCTCAGCTACTAAGTGAATGTAGGTCTAGAGACTTCTGACATAAGTGGGAGAGAGGACCTGTGTGACAGGGAAGACAGGGCAAAGGATCCTCCATCTTGTATTGTTGCTCATACTGTTTCAGGTTTAACTAGAATTTGATGATCTTGATGGAGAATCCCATGGAAAATTACCAAACTATTCTAGGAGCCCAAGGCCAAGATACCCTTGTGAATTTAATTTCTATTAAACTGCCTGCTTGTGCAGTTAAGCCCTTAGCTTCTGTCAAATTGCTTGCATACTCCAATCTGCCTTCTCACCACTACAGCTGCCGAGCAAGGTGCCAACAAGGTTTCTGCCTTCAAAACCTCATGCTCAGGTCACTTCGGGCTACAACTGGCTCCCTAATACCTGAGTGTAGTCTTAGCCAGGTGGAACAAAGACTTCGATTTGGTGTAGAGGATTCCCTGGAACAACAGTCTGAAAGAGTATGAAACTGACGACCAAGACTTGATCTCAGTAATAAAAGACTATCAACCAAGGTAGTTTCCAGTGAGTGACATCAGGTGACCTCGGTGTTTTAAGGCATCACATGCTAACATGCACAGAATGGATTTGCATGGAAAGTAGCCTGTGCTAAGCTCAATAATTACCAACTTGCAAGATAGCTATCTGTTCCTCATTAAAGCCCAGGGAACATACAAGTGTACTGTTGTTCTCCTTCTGCATGAGATGTGAGATACTGAGGATTGAGAAGGGCACCCATGAGGGAAACATTGAAGAGACTCCTTCCGTGTTTAGGCTTGACCTCTGTTGCTCTGGGACAATGGTCTTGTGCCCTGTAAAGATTTGTCACTTGTATTGGTTTAATAAAATGCTGATTGGCCAGTAGCCAGGCAGGATGACCAGAATAGAATTCTGGGAAGAGGAAAGGCTCAGTCTGCAGTCATCACTCTGACACAGAGGAAGCAAGATGAGAATGCCTCACTGATAAAAAGGTACCAAGCCACGTGGCTAACACAGATAAGAATTATGGGTTAATATAAGATATAAGAGTTAATAAGAAGCCTGAGCTAATAGGCCAACCAGTTTATAATTAATGTAGGCCTCTGTGTGTTTCTTTGGAACTAAATGGCTGCAGGACCCAGCAGTACAGAAACCTCTGTCAACACTATGTAGAGGATAAACTTCACCAGGTGTGCTGTCCTGCACTTGGACTGCAGTCTCCAAGCATCTGTTTCTAACTAGCTTTGTGCAATACCATGTAATGCAATCAAGCACTCATGTTTCACCTAAGGAAAAAATAATGGTCATGTTCCTATGCCCATCCTCCTTCCAAGAGCAGTAGAATGACAGGGGTCAAAGTCCTCTATTGACCAAGATCTGAATGTACCCCCAGAGCTAATGACTGTAGAGTGAGAACCAGCAGTCTATATTAGTGATGTCTAACAGTCAAGTGACCCGTTCAAACTAAATAAATGGCAAAATTTTTAGTTTTCTCTTCTAGTGCCTAGGTTAAGATACCTTCAACAATGACATGCAAAATATTTAGATTATAAATGGTATGAACTAAAACAATTCCTAAACACTCCTAGGATCCAGTAATTGCCATACAAAGTAGAGTACCCTTGGCATATCCCAATAAATATAAGAACCTTAGACAAGCCAGTTCTGTAAAATGATTTATTAACATTCTAAATTTTAATCAGTTGGTCTGCCTTTATTTCATCATCCTTTCTGCTTACAAGCTCATTGAGAACAAGCTTCCACTGCCTCACGGTTTGATGCTTTTCAAGACCTAGCTCGTTACTTCTCTCACACAACCTCTTATGTGTGCCTGTGGTTTGGATACTCAGACTACAAAATGTGTTGTAGATGTTAACAATGGTTCTCAAGCTTTTGCTATTTCTATGACTTAATCAAGAACATAAATATAAAAATGATGGGAAACAAAGCTTTCTCAGCTCTATTACCTGTAATAATATACAGAATTTATAATTATAAATTTTTGTTATAACAAAAACTTTAGTTTTAAAAAATGTTTTATTTGAGAATTACATAGTTTAATATCTTCGAAAATACTGTTTCCTAATCACTAAAAAAGAAAGCAGATTCAGTAAGAAATTTAAATCATTAAATATGTTGCACTAATATATACATACAGAATGCTAAGTAATAATATTTAGCTCTGGAATGCGTACCATCTTTTTCCTCATTAAAGGCTCAACCAGCACAATGTATGCTATGTATAAAGTTCCATGTACATGAGAGTATGACACTTAATTGCTTCAACTTATAGCTGAGGTAATTTGTCCACTGGGGTGTCAAACTTGAAGTCTGAAGGGAAGAGATCTGGAGCCCGAGGGTAGATCAGTCTGTAGGACTGTCTGATTGTAACATCAGCAACACCAGCAATATCTCCAATTTCTAAAGGACAAAAAAACAAGCCATTCAGTTGATCTGCTCTTACTACCAAAGGGCAAAACAAAACAAAAAAAAACCCTCTCAATTTCACTTTTTAAAAGTGATAATGAAAATCCATTTTAATAGGCATGACAAGAGTCAAAGTCAATATAAATAGTGATATTGGCAGGCCTCTTTAAAGGTATCTTAGTAATACTAAAAGACATAATATATGCAAAGCAACCCAGAGCATGGCACTATGAGTGACAGGCACTGTGTTGCTTTTGCCAGATATCGTTGAAAGGTTGAGACAATATATACTTTTCATGTGCAAAGCTAGGTTTATCCCTAGGGTGGCATAAAGATCATCCTCAGCTACACAGCAGGTTTGAGGCCAGTGGGGGATACATGAGACCTTGCCTCAAAACAAACAAACAAACAAACAAAAAAAAAAAAAAAACGGTGAAGGGCCATAAGGTACAATCCCTCCCCGAGGGACCACTGACAACTATTAGTAACATTTTCTTCAGTGATATATAACCACTAGTAAGCTGCTCATCTTCCAATAAATAAACCTCCCATAAAAGATACAAATTAAAATTAAATTCAAACAGGAAAAGGAGACTTGTATACAAGAAAGACTATGCCTCTAATCACTTAAAAGCAAAATTCCATATTCTCTAAAGGTGTTTTATGTCTGTTTTGTTTTGAGATGCTGGGCCAGGCCCTCGGGCACACTCAACAGATACTCTCAATGAACAGAACTATATTTCAACCTACTTCCTTCTGTGTTAATGCTTCAACTCCCAACCCTGCCATCTCTCCGGCACACTTCCTAATAAAGATCCTACCTTTCTGTGTCCGCTTCTCAGCTGATGCCTGGGAAGCCATGTAAATAGCTGCCGCTGCCACAGATATGGGGCTCCTGCCAGGAACCAAGTCCAGCTCGACGGCCTTGCGGGCTATATGTGTTGCTGCCATCTGTACTTGCTTGGGGAGGCAAAGGTTCGAGCAGAACCTGGACATGAAGTCCCCAGTTGTGATCAGATCCACACTGGTTTCCAAAGCTTTCAAAATCAGTTTAAAACAGCGGCCAATTTCTTTTTTAGAAATTCGAGATACGGCACATATTTCTAAAAGAGAAATAAAATTGAAAAAATGCATGTTACAAGGTTCATTTTGTAATTTATCATTTTTTACAAAAATAAAATATTCTAGTTGTTAAAAATTTAATCATGACTTAAAGATGAGACCCTAATCCTCTCAGCAATATTTCCCATAAACCTTATTTATTTAAAAATAAATTCTCAGTTTATAATTTTGTCATACCTTAAATTGAGGCTGTATTCTTTCAAAATAAAAATTTTATCTATTTCAATTTATTATTAAGATACAAGTTTCTCTAATCAAAAACCTCTCAGATATTTATATGTTAATCTTTGTAAGGAATGTTCCAAGGAGAATGAAAGTACTCAAGCTGAAGAATGCCAAGTGCATGTATACTCTTTATCTACATGCTATTTCTCTAAATAAGCTAAAATGTTAGTCACCGCTTGAGTTACAGGCCAAAAGATGTGCGATAAGCCTTGACTCTTCACTTTGATACAGGAAAACTTGAAAGATACTCATTGGCTATATGGTGAATGTAGTGTCCAACCTGGACCTGGGCAATGAAAGTCAGTTATGTATCACAGTAAAACACTGGGAGTAGGCTGTCCTGTACTCCTGAGTAAACACAAGCTTGACAAAACCCAGCAGTGATCAGTGATCTCAAAGTCTTTGCCTTGCACAAAACTGTTATCACTAGGCCTCAAAAAGAAAAAATTACATTGAGACCTTTCTTCCAAGACTTGACACACCGGAAGCTAGCTAGTAGTTGTTTTCTTCACAGTTACAGATGTCACCCCAGTGTAAAGCCTCTGTAGCATGTCAGGCCTTCTAGCCCACAAAGCAGAGTCAGGTGGACAGTGGACTTACAGTAGCTATTAAAATGGTGTCACCTGCGAAAGCAGCTTGCAAAGAAGACTGTCTTTTCTGTCAAAGAACAAAATAAAGATCCACTGGAAAATGTCGTTGTTTAAAGGTTCCCACTGCTGTGAAGACACCATGCCCAAGGCAAGTCTTACAAAGAAAAATTGGGGTGGCGGCTTACATTTCAAAAGTTTAGTTCATTATCATTATGGTGCAACATGGTGGCGTGTAGACTGTCATAGTGCAGGCTACATCTTAATCAAAGGGAAACAGGGAATGGATTAAGACACTGGGTGTATCTTGAACATATATGAGACCTCAAAGCCTGCCTCCATAAAGACACACTTCAACAAGAACACACTCACACCACCTAATAGTTTCATTTCCTTTGGGGGCCATTTTATTTCAAAACATCACAGCCATGTACATGGATTACTGCATGCTATGCTGAAGACAAGCACTATCTGTTAAGTGACTCTACTTAGTGCAGTTGAAGCCTTACCTTTAAATGTCCTTGGAACTCCTTCTTGCCTACAGGCAATGTACAGACAAGCAGAAGCTATCGCATCATTAGCTCTTCCCTTCAGGCTCTTCTGCTCATATACTTGCTTGAATAAATTATTTGTTCGATCCTTCAAAGCAAAGAAACTAAGTTTAATTAAATATAGGCCATTTAATTACTTACAATATCAAAATTTTATGTGTTCATTAAATTATGCAGAGTAAATGTCAGAATGGCTTAAAGCACATGGACAAGAACTTACAACTATATTTCGAGGGAGGTTGATTCTGTCTGCCATGGTTGTGATTTCCTTGAAAGCATTCATCATTGCTCTATCAGAGCTACTCATTGTTCTCCGATTCTGATACTTAGAATTGCCAAACTCATCAAAACTTGCAGCTCCTGTACCCTATAAGACAGAGTTAACCTTGCTAAAACATTTTTGGAAATTTTGAACAGACAATTTCTATGAAAATGTAATTTATACAATCTGACTACGTGTATCCAGTGAAGCCTGTGCCTCAAACAGAAACTTCCAGGAAAAGATGCTTTAAAGAAGTTTTTTCACAGACACTTAAGTAAATCTAAACAATTGTTCCAGAACACAGAAAATAGAAAGTGAAAGTCCAATTGAATTTATAGATGACACAAAATATGTCAGAAGACAGAAAGCAAAAACATATTAAATATACATACAAGATCAAGTAAAGATTAGTCAATACAAGAAAGACAGCTATTAGAGAATAGTTAATATAAAATGTCATAATCACATGTCTAAGAAAAATCACATGATCTTTAAAGGTACCATATAAAGCTATATGAACAAAACTCAAAATGCAGTTTTGATAAAGACTCATAATATTAGAAACAGGCAGTTCTCTGTGTATAAAAACCATTCTTCCAGGCCTAAGTAAACAATCTGGTTAGTAGGAAAAGGCTTCAGACGCACTAAGATCACAGCCAGGTAGCTTTGATGCTTAACAGCAATGCTTGTTAACTGATGGTAAAAGTCAAACTCATTCCAGGAGTGCACACTAAAGCGTCCATGCTGTAACATGCAAAGGCCAGATAAAAAATGTGTAATTGAAGCCATGTGAAGGAGACCACAAGCTATCTGTAGGCCCTATGTCTATGAGTTCAAAATGCCCAACAAAATCATTAAAAAATGCTACTGCAATAAACAGCAAAAACGTTTGTTTGTTAAAGGAAAAGCACTGATGAAATCTGAAGTCTCATAATACATATAATTCCTCTACTCCAGTGATTACAGGAATAGAATTATGTGTATGTGAATTTCTGCATTGAGTTTCTCAAAAGAAGCAAATACAGAACATGCTGGTGTATGCCTTTAATCCCAGCACTTGGGAGGTAGAAACAAGGCAGATCTTTGAGTTCAAGACAGACCTGGTCTATATTGTGAGTACTAGGACAGCCAGGGATACACAGAGAAACCCTATCTTGAAAAACAAAATAACAAAAAATAGACAACACTTATATCTTCCTATCTACTCAGTCTTGTTTTGTCTAACATGACTTTAAGAGAATAATGTAACAACCAAACTTATGTGCTATGGATTTCCCATGCATTCAATTTGTACAGTCTAAACTAATGTGTAGCTATGATCTTAAATTATGACTCTTTGGCCATGCACACTGCCTTTAACCCCAGCAGTCAGGAGGCAGAGTCAGGTGGATCCCTGTAAGCTCCAGGTCAGCCTAGTCTACAACAGCCAGGACTGTTACACAGAAAAACCCTATCTGAAAAAAAAAAAACAGAAAAAAGAAGACTCTCCATGCCCCTGCCCCAGACTACAATGTGTATCTGTTTAAAAGTGTTATGACAATAATTTGCTGAAAACAGCAAATAACAGGTTGAAAGCAGTAGCATAAAAATTAATATCTGTAAGTATTAACAGCATACAGATCTCCTTGATAAAAGGGCATCTAATCCCCTGGAACTGAAGTTACAATGATTGCGAGCCACCATGTGGGTGCTGGGAATCAAATCCAGGTCCTCCACAAGAGTATCAATTGAATCTCTCTGGCCCCAATAATGAATTTTTATATAATGATCTTTTTAAAAAGTCATATTGAGCATTTTGGCACATGCCTCTAACCCTAGCACTTGGGAGGCAGCCGTAAGTGCATCTGTTAGTTCAAGGTTAACCAGTCTACATAGCTAGTTACAGGGCTGTATAGTGATAACCCTCACTCAAAGAAACAAACAAAAACAGACTGTGCAGTAATGAAGTTCTAAACTAGCATACACTTCCATGATGAGTCTTTCAGGGACAGTCATCAGCACTGATCAGCAGTGTAGCCATCCTGGCTTGCTGCCTGCAGGTGGTGCAAATGCTCAAGGTTGCAGTTCTGTGAGTTCATACCTATGCTGGGTCTGACAGTGATTCCAAATTTTAGGGAAACAGATATTCGTGGTGTATCTTCCCAGAAAAAGGCTTATACAACAACTGTTTTTGCAATTGTATGTATATGGGTAATTTGCCTGCATGTGTGCCTGTGCACCAGTGCCTGACTATTGCCAATAGAGGCCGTTCTGAAAGTGGAGCCAACAGTTTGTGAGTCACAGTGTGGATCCTGGGAATTAAATCCACGTCTTCCAGAAGAGTAGCTCTTAATCCCAGCCCAAGATTATTATACTGATTCCATGTTCTTCCCTCCATGATGGGAAAAACACCCAGATCAGTAGAGTTCCACGGTGCTAACACTGGCAAATCTTATTCCCAAGTCAAGAGTCTCCTTTGGGTTAATGATTGATACTTTTGCAAAAAATCCTAACTTTCCAGATCTTTATCTCACCCCCACCTTGGCATTTTCTATTAAATTATGGAATTATTACCTTGCCAATCATGGTGGACAAATCTCCATCACTCAGAAGAGGATTCTGAGAATCTCCAACTCGAGAAGGGTCTTTTGTTGCTTTATCATTGCTAAAAGTTCTCCATTCGGATCCCACATCGATAACCCGGTCCCCTAAGGAGGTAAGCACACAGTTACTTAGCCAGGAACAGAACTGCCCTCCCCATGCTGGCTAATCGCTAGCATCTCAACTTGGCCACCTGGGCTCCAGCTTAGTCTTACATGTCTGCTCTGCTAGTCCAGTAATAAACTATGTAAATAGTATGCTATCATATCATTATTCATATCCCAACTCGTAGAAGAAAAAATTGGTTAAAAATAACACAAAGAAAAAGCTGGTGTGGTAGTATGTGCCTATAATCCTAGTATTTGGGAGGCTGAGGCATAATAGAGAAAAATCAAGGCTATACTGACTACATATACATAGCAAGACCTTACCTCAATGACCAAAGCAAAATAATAAAACTATTCTTATGTGATACAAAGAAAAACAATGAAGCCAGGTATGGTGGTGGAGCAAGCCTCTTATCTCAGGACTCCGATGATAGAGGCAGATAGATATCTGACCCCCATGAATTCCAGACCATCCAGGACTACACAGTGAGACCTTATCCCAGAGAAGGGGGTGGGGGTGACTCAGAATAAAATTTTAAAAGGCAGCAGGCACACTTTTCAAGCAAAGAGGTTATGATTGGGTGTGTGATATCAAAACACCTGGTCACTACTTTAGTGGGAGGAGCTCAGTGTCTGGAAATATCTTTAAAGTAGACAGAGATAACACTGAATATTAAAACACATGTTGGTCAGTGTGTCCACTGTAAATATTACCAACTAATCCCCAGAGCTACATAAACACAGGTACCACTTTCACTGTTCCTCACAACTCATGTTATTTGGCCAAAGATCCCACAGCTACAAGTGAAATGTGTATAAGCTTCTGACCAATTCCATTGAACTCTTTCAATGAACTGTACCTTGTTCATCTTTGCCAGCAATTACAATGCCTTTCAGTATGGTGAGTCAACAAATATAATTACAGAGGTTGTACCAAGATGCTGCTTAGCTTTGGAAAAGTTATTTAATTAAAAAAATTTAAATGGAAGGCTGAGGAGGTAGCTCAGTAGTTGAGAGCATATGCGATTTCACCACAGAACCCAAACCTGGTTATCAGCACCCATATCAGGTGGCTCCCAACCACCTAAAACCAGCTCCAGAGGATCCATGCTCTCTCTCCATAGGAACTTTATTCCTGTGCACATATCCACACACAGATGCAGACGTATGCAAATTTAAAATAAAAATCTTAAGTTCTAATTACATTTACTTATTTTGTGTGTTGGAAGGCACATACACCATACATGTGTAGAGGTCAGAGGATAATTCTCTCCTTCTGCCATGTGGGTTAAGACTGATGACTTAGTATGACATAGGCTTGATGACTTAGGCTTGGTGGGAAGCACTAATCTGTTAAGCCGTCTTTATGACACCATTTTATTTCATTTCTATGCCTTATTTCTTCAGATTTCCCTAATAACTTCACATTTTAAAAACTGTAAGTTAAATGAATTATTGCACTTGTATAAGCATGTACGTTCTCAATGTCTAAACACTGGCAGATGTTCTCACTCTCCATTTTGGGGGAGGGGGGTGATGACAGAGGCAGTCATCTGACCCTTAGATTTTAAAGGACTCCAGGGCTCTGCAGCTCCTTAGTGACAAAGGAATATGGGGTGAAATGATCATTTCAATGTAGAGCATATCAAAACTTTTAAAGAACACATTAATTAAAATGCAATATGCAAAATAGCAATTATAATATAAACCCAGTAATGTGCTTTAAGAAAGTAGGTTACTATATAAGAGAATGATTTGTTAATGAAGGCTCCTGATAAATTTAGTTTTCTTTGAACTTCAAGAGAACCTAGAGAAACTAGAGTATTTCCTAGACAATCATGTTTGGGTGAAGGAACAAAGACCCACACATTAGAAGGCATTTTAACATGCCAGCCTGACTGTGACTCCAAGGAAGGACAAGGTTAAGTGAGAATGACACTGTGTGGTTCCCATGCACTTGTGCTTTCAGAAACAGTCAATGAGGCCAACTTTCCTAGTCAGCAAGATAAAAACAAAACACACACAAACATAAATTACTGTGGTCTTCAAAGCAGTTACCAAATTTGAAAAGTTAAACAGATCAAATGTCATTAACTTATATGTAGCTGTATATACATGAAACAAATATTTTTTTTCAAGCACTTAGGGCCTTGAGCATGCTAGTCAAGTGTTCTCTGAACTTCACTGTCAGCCTTATCTTTGCTTTTATTTGAGGCAGGGTCTCAGAAAATTGTACTCATTCCAGCCGAGGCAGGTATTTAACTTGAATTCTGTCTATAATTCCTAGTAGCTGGAATATTACTGTTCCACTAGGCCCAGCTAACTGTTATGTTTTCAAGGGACAAAAATGAATATATCAAGAAAACCGTACAGGTGGAAACGCATACAGGTGTGTCCACATGCTGTAATTCTATCTGCATATTTGGAGATAAAGCACCAGCAAGCTAAAATACTTCATTTCATAACATTTTCCTTTTGGCATCGAAGTACCTTATAGAGATTGCTTTATACTGTTTTTAAAAAGACAAAATGGACTTTAAAAATAATAATTACAAGGTGGCCTAGTATATAGTATAAACAGAAAGCCCAGCAATGGACAATGAAGTAAAGTTTTCCAAATATGTGGAATGATCTAAATGACTCACTCTAGACATAACTGCTCAAAATAGCATTTATAAGAATCAAATTTCCGCTGGGTGGTTGTGGCACACAACTTTAATCTCAGCACTCAGGAGGCAGAGGCATGTGGATCTCTGTGAATTCGAGGCCAGCCTGGTCTAGAAGAGCTAGTTCCAGGACAGCTAGGACTGTTAAACAGAGAAACCCTGTCTGGGGGTAGGGAGGGAGGAGAATCAGAACCAAGGCAACTCAAAGAGCACAGCATGAAACTAAAGAATTATTCAGAAAAAAAATTATTCATATATATATGAGACAGTATTAGAAAAGTTTCCTGGAAGAAAACTGCAAGTCAGAATCTCTTCAAGGGGAGTGTGTGTAATCAACCTTTATAGTGAGAAGCCTATCAGTTAACAAGCACACACACATACCCTCAAGTATCCTAGAAACAGAAAAAAAATGCCGTTTTTTTCTCCTCTTAAACTACACGTTGACTCTGTAAACTTAAGCCAGATGGGAGTTCTTCGTGAAAACAGTGTAGAAACACTGACACAGACAGAAACCATCACTGTGACCATGTCCATCTCTGCGGCACAACCACATACAGAGAAAGTCATGCCCAGCACATGTCACTGAACTTCAGTGTATAAGCCATAACAGAGTGGCATCTAAAGAGCATTTCATCACACTCTAAAGAGATAAATTGTATCTATTTGTTAAGAAACAAATGAAAGTAACTGTCAAAAAAAATCATTCTTGCTAGTTCAAAACAGTCATCACTCTAGCACCTACCTTTTGACTTGTCAATGACTAAATTTTGGAAGAAAAGGTCAAAATGACTCATTCATTTTTCAAATCTATTTTCCTTATATTTTTTTTAAAAAGATGAATTTAAATTTAAGTGGTGAACATGACATGATATTAAACTGGAAATGGAACTGCTAATTTTAAGCAATACTAATGTGAAATCCTAATTCATATGGCATGATATTGATTTTCTTTTCTCAGCAGTATCGATGTTGAAATAATGTTTAGCTCAACAGGATAGTCATTCAGTTACATTCCCTAGCCCCAAAATTATTTTCTAATAGCTACGAATGCAGCTACAAGCCTAATATTTTGCTGACTATAAATCAATATACAAGCAATATAATGTACAAGGTCAAATTTAGGAACAAACTGATACCCTAAATATTATACTGCTATCTACTGTTGAACTTCGACAGTGACACTGTCACATTATTAGGATCTAGTTGGGGGCAGGGACTCAGCAGTTTTGTGGAAGGAAGGAAGCTCTGCCTCACTGGCCTGCTTAGTCACAACACACCTCAGCACCAAAGGGTCAGGTGTGGTAATACACTCTTCTAATCCCAACAAGGAGATCGAGGCAGACAGATCTCTGAGTGACAGACCAGAGAGGGTTACAGAGAGATGGCTCAGTGGGTAAAAGAACGTAGCACGGCCACACATTTGTTAACCAGGTGCAAGGGGTGTGGGTGGAGACAAAGAAGTCTCTGGGCTCGTTTGTCAGAAAGCCTCACTAAAGGGCAGCAAGCTCTGGGTTCACTGAGAGACCTTGTCTTAAACAAATAGGGTGGAAAATGATAGAAGACATCCTTTGACCTCTGCCAGCTAACAAGCTATGTACACACATGCACATCACAACACACAAATCAGTGATAAAACAGTGAATTGCAAATCATAGCTCTTCAATGTACTCTACAATTCAAGTGAAAGTCAAAGAAACCACTATTATACACTGAACAGTTAGTTACATGGCTGGTTCTTGTGCCAAAGTGGAATAGATTTCTACAGTCTCCCAACCTCAGTGGTTCTTAAGACTTTACTGACCAATCCCAGTGTACTCTGGTCTAGACATAGTCTTCAGTTTCCTTCAAAAAAATACTTGCGCCGGGCGGTGGTGGCGCACGCCTTTAATCCCAGCACTCGGGAGGCAGAGGCAGGTGGATCTCTGTGAGTTCGAGGCCAGCCTGGTCTACAAGAGCTAGTTCCAGGACAGGAACCAAAAACTTCGGAGAAACCCTGTCTCGAAAAATAAAAAAAAAAAAAAATACTTGCATTCCTGATAAGTCTCTTTTTATTTGCTTTTTTGTTTGTTTTGTTTTTCAAAACAGGGTTTCTCTGTAGCTTTGGAGCCTGTCCTAGAACTCGCTCTGTAGACCAGGCTGACCTCCAACTCACAGAGATCCACCTGTCTCTGCCTCCTGAGTGCTGGGATTAAAGGCTTGAGGCATGTGCCACCAATACCTGGCGATAGTTCCTTTCTAAATCAAGTATATGAAAAACACATGACTACTCTCTGATAACTCCATACCTAGTTTATTCTGTTTTTATTAAGAAATTCTGGTGTTATTAAACAGCCCACATTTTTTCTGACCACTGTCTTCCTGGGGGTATTCTGAAAACATGCACCATCTCTGCATAACAAACAACGGCACTGCTACCTAGTTAACAAGCTAATGACTTCACTACACCTTTATGGGCCACAGGTTTGTTTGGACATGAGTACAAGATAGTAATAAACACTATAAAGTGTTGCAATATGGCAACTTGCATGACACAGTACCGTTGAGTTCGATCTCCACAACTGAAGTTTACAGTACAACTGAGTGACAGAGACAAGCAATAAGAGCACGCCTGTGGTTTCTGCTGCAATTACTAAGTGGTGAAACAACTGAATATGAGCATGTTCCAATAAAACTTTATGCATTACAAAACTTAAATATGGTAATATTCTCTTATACCCAAAATCATTATTATTTCAGTTTTTCCTCAACCACTTGAAAGTATAAAAGCCATGAAAGCCATATTAAGAACATGTGTTAGCAGTATGCTGGCACCAAAAGCAATGGATTTCAATCTCTATTAGTAATTCTATATGCTTTAAAATTCCAGCTGTAAGCTAATCAAGGGGGTAAAAAGTCTTGACTACTCAGTGGTAACAACAAACAAAACCTTTCCAGTGTAGGTCTGAAGCAAGCATTTGTCACAGTTCCCAAGTCTAATAGCAATTTTCTTCAAAAGTGACTCAAATTGCTCAAAGGTTGGGAGTAGAGATCAGAGAGAGTGCTTCCTTAGCATGGTAGGCCCTGTGCTTCATTGGCCATACTCAAGATAAAACAAACCACTATCACTTCTGCTCTCGCTACTGCTAAACAGAATCCTCATTTTTCTGTGTGAGTTTAAGTCTCTTCTGTGTATCTAGATTAGTGAGCAAATAGGCATAAAACTGAAATTGTATATTCATTTTTCTTTTTGTAGTAATGGGAATTGAACAAAGAGGTTCTCCCAGTGCTGGGTAAGCATGTTACCACTGGCTATATTGTCAGCCCTAAAAGTAAAATTTTAAGATGTGACATATTTGAATAGTAACAATTTAAACTAGATATTCTATATCCTGACACCATATGCAAGTCTTAACATATCTTATTTTACTACAAGCCACTAGATGAGGCTCAATATTATTACTTTGAAATCTACCACATTTATTTTAGTGGCATACAAATGGCACAAAAGTTAGATATTAGTTATTTGAGTATCACTCCATCTCCTCTTACACACACACCTTCCACTCACTATTTAAAGCTAAGGACGCAAATACTGTGGCCTTTTCATTTCTCTTTTTCTTCTGAGGCAGGTTTTCTCTGTATAGTCATAGACCAGATTGGCCTTAAGATCCGCAAGCCTCTGTCTCCTGAGTGCTGGAATTTTTTTTTTTTTTTATTTTTGAGACAGGTTTGGTTTTGGTTTTTTCTATAGCTTTGGAGCCTGTCCTGGAACTAGCTCTTGTAGACCAGGCTGGCCTTGAACTCACAGAATTACACCCGCCTCTGCCTCCAGAGTGCTGGCATTAAAAACACGAGCCACCATTGCCCAGTGAGCCTTTTCCTTTCTTTTTGGTAAATTTCTGTTGTGGGAACTCCTTCAACCAATAGCCTTTCAGATACCAGACCATTTTGGGCATGGTCTGAGGTACTATATAAGCTCAGTTGTAAAGCGTGCTTAGCCCTTTTTTGCTGGATTCGGTTCCCAGCTTCCAGAGCACACAGAAGACAGCAGATCTTTACCCTTATTGTGAGCTTTATCCCCAAATAAATAAACCTCTGTTGTAGTCCATTACGGGCTATTGAGCACTCTTTAATACGCCTACACATTTCTACCTACATCACAAAACATGTAGTAGTTACATACGTGCAATGGTACATGGCATGTCTACAGACTCTTGCCCATTTCCATTTCTCTTTTTACTTTATTGTAACTGTGACTTGCTTGTGTGGGGTGAGAGCTATTAAAATGTATTCATTAAAACTTTGGAAGCTGTACAAAAGCCAAGTACTGTGGATTATGATTTAAACTAAAAGCTTAATAGCTACTTACCTACAACTAAGCCACATTCAGGGCAGATCATATCGCCGGCTCTGTAGTCCTCTACTAAAATTGCATCTGGATGATTTGGACATGTGACTCTTGGGAGAGCATCCAAACTACATGGAAAAAAACAACAACACATTTTTTTTTATATTTTCCAACTAATAAACAAGTCTGAGTTTTATTGTCTTCTAGTAAACAGGTAAGCTGCTAAGATTTTTGAAATCCTTGATTAGTATAACAACTTACAATCACAATAGCCAGCAGCATTTATATATAATTATCTGATTGTGATCTTTGCTATTTATTTCTATTGTTAGGGAATAAAGGGTGTTTTCTATTTGTCAGCCACCATAATGATGGATTTAGCATAGCACAGTAAAGCCAACACACACTGCATGCAAGACAGTCAGTTGCAGCTGTGCTGGTCTTAGGTCTGATGATTTTCGCTTTGCTGGGCATACTAACACATGCTATAGTCCCAACACTTGAGGCTAAAGTAGGATTCCTTGAGTCCAGGACTTCAAGAACAGCCCAGACAAAAGACATAAGTATCTTCACAAGTAAAAAAAAAGAAAGAAAGAAAGAAAATAAAAGCTGGATAACCATACACAGAAGAATCTAGATTTCTATCTCTTATGCTGTCCAAACATCAATTCAAAATGGACCAATGACCTTCATGTAAGATCTAACCATGGGGGCTGGAATGATGGCTCAGAGGCTGAGTGCTTACTGCTCTTTCAGAAGACCTGGGTTCAGTTCCTAGCACCCACACAGTGACTCACAACCACCCATTAACTCCAGTTCCAAGGAGTCTGACACTTTCTCCTGGCCTCTCAGGTCACCAGGCACACACTCAGACACAAAAATAAAAGAGATCTGACACTTTGAAAGCACTAGAGGAAACAGGTAAAAGGTACTTCAAGATTAGGTATAGCAAGGACTGTGTAGGAGGAGAGAGCTGCTTGTTGGTTCCCACTACCCAGGGCCGAAATAATCACACAGAAACTGTATAATTTAAATCACGCTTGGCCCATTAGCTCTAGCTTCTTATTGGCTAACTCTTACATATTAATTTAACCCATCTCCATTAATCTGTGCATCACCACGAGGTGGTGGCCTACCAGCAAAATTTCAGCACATCTGTCTCTGGCAGTGGCTCCATGGTTTCTCTCTGACTCCACCTCCTTTCTCCCAGTATTGTATTGAGTTTTCCCTGCCATAGGTCTAACGCAGTTCCTTTATTACCCAATGATAGTCACAGCATACAGAGGGGAGTCCTACCCAGGATTGTCTTAAAAGGATGCCAGTATCACAGGATATAATCCCAAGAATGGAAAAGAGTGACTGCATGAAAAAAACTCAACAGCATCTACACTGCAAAGAAAATAATCAGCAGAGCTAACACGGTGTAGGAAAACCTCTGCCAGTGACATAGGAAACACTATATATTAATATCAAGAAACTATATTGCACTCCAAAAATTAAGTACCAAAAATCAACAAGTAGACTAATGAAAGACAGTTCTCAAAAAAAAAAAAAAAGGAAACACAAATGGCCAATATTTGTAAATGTATTCAGTATCTTTAGCCACTGAGGAAATTAAAACTGCTTTTTATCTCATCCCAGTCAGAACGGCAATTATCTAGAAACCAAATGACAACAATAGTATGGCAACTGTGGAAAAGAAGAATCATCACACACTGCTGATGGGAAGAGAAACTGTTACAGTTGCCGTGGAAATCAGAATGGGTTTTCTCAAAAGACAAACTATAGGGCTGGTGAGATAGCGCAGTGGGTGAAAGTGCTTATGGCCAGGCATGATGACGAGTTCAGCCACTGGGACCCAAATGGCAGAGGGATAAACCAACTTCCACAGTTGTGCTCTGATGCGGTTAGGGGAGAAAGCAGAATCCCACCAACTGTCCTGACTCACACCTTGGCACAGGTTCTCCCCCCAATAAATAAATACACTAATAAATCTTTTTAGATAGAACTATGTAATAGACTATACAACTCCTAGGCAGATACCTGAAGCTCTAAGTATACACATCACACACACACACACACTCAAATACCCATGTTCATCTGTAACAATGTAATGAAGTGGAATCAACTTAGGGTAAAAAATTATGTTACCAATACACAGTCTTAAAAAATGAAATCTTAGGAAACAAATGGAAATGAAAAGCATTACACTAAGTGAATAAAACATAATCAGAAAAACAAGGACAGCATGATTCCTTCATGTGTGGAATTTGTATTCAAGTTTACATGTATGTATATTATACATACACATACATGTTACATATGTATGTAGGATCTGAAAGAAAAATGGGGAACTGTAAGCAGGAAGGAAGTGACCTGAGGGAGGAGAGAGGAGAAAAGAGAGGGGCAGAAGGGGCACTATTTGGAAGAAGTGAACCAGCAAGAAGGTGGAAGTCAGGACTGACTATACAAAAGTATACACCAACGTAAGGCATACCATAAGACCATTATACTGCACGCTAGTCTAAGAAACTCATTTCAAATGAAAAATAATGATTACAAAGCTAACATTATGTTATGACATTAGTAACAATATTTTCCTTTTATTTTCTTAAAAGATAGGAGTTGCTCTATAGTCTTATTGGCCTCAAACACACTATACAGCCCAGGCTGGCATCACCCAGGAGCCTCTTACCTCAGCCTCCTGAAGTGACATCACAGGGATGTGCCACAAAGCCCAGTTCATGATATTAGTAACTTTTTTATTTATCTTGAACAATAAAACAGCTTGGGGAAATTGATTAACCTTAAATGACTTGATAAAACATGCTTTTAAAAAAACAAAGATTCTTGGTCAAAACCTAAGTATTATTTTTGGAAGGTGTGAACCCTCTTCTAAAGCTCACTTGACATGTACAGAGCAAATGGTTCCGTCGCAGTCACCACAAGCATACACTTAAAACACAAAATTGACTCTTTACAACATGTAAATAGACATTTGTGGTTTAGGGTCAAGTTTCTCATGCTAGCTGTTATAACTCAGAAAGTTTTAATCACTAACATTGTTTTTCATTTATTTACTTTAAAGGTATATAATTTTTGTTTTATGTATGTATGTATGTGCATGCATGTATGTCTAGTGCCCAGATGTCAGAAAAGGCATCAGATTCCCTGGAAGTGCAGGTACCATTTGGGTGCCAGATCCTCTGCAAGAGCAACAAGTGTTCTTAATACTGAGCCATCTTTCTGGCTCACTAACTACCAACTTTGAAGTCACATAGAAAATTGATTTTAAAAAAAAAGCACATAATAACCACCAAATTTACTCAATTATAACATATCTTGGACTTTTCTAATCAGGAAAATTGGAGAGGGCAGAAATTGCTTTATTCTGGAAATTTAAAAAAAAAATAAATTATGAAAAATAAAAGTAGTACATAAAAACTGAAAAGCTGCTGATATAAAAGAAAATGTGATCAAAATAAGGGGAGTTATCATTAAATGAAGCAGGAGGTTACCATAACAGTACGTTATGGATTATCACAGTTTAGCACTTATTTCGTTTGTTTTTTTCGAGACAGGGATTCTCTGTAGCTTTGGAGTCTGTCCTGGAACTTGCTCTTATAGACCAGACTGGCCTTGAACTCACAGATATTCGCCTGCTTCTGCCACCCTGATGCTGAGATTCAAGGCGTGCACCACCACCACCCAGCCAGTTTAGCACTGTTAACAAGTAGATCAAGCCAGCTGTGATGAAGAATGCCTGTAATCCCAGAATTCCAAAGCAGAGCTAGATCTGCCACCATATTTAGGCCATACTAATAATGATACAAAGAACATGGTAAGTTCTGGGACAGCTTAGACTAGAGTGAGCATCTCAAAAAGAAACTAAAAATAAAAGTACATTAAAGGGGCTGGGAAGGGATTGGAGCTCAGTGGATAATAACTATACAGTGAGTTCCAGAGCAGCTTAGACTATGGTCTCAAAAAGCAAAAAAAAAAAAGAGAGAGAAAGAAAAAACAGAAAAGAAAAAGAAAAAATACAAACAAACAAATAAAAGTAGGTAAAGGGGCTGGGAATGTAACTTAGAGGGAGAGTACTTGCCTAAGGTCATGGGCTCGATCCCTAGCACTTAAAAATGGGAAACACAGGAAAGTTTGCAGTGTTTTTAAATGACAATGGAATTATTTAAGTATAGGTATTTTGTCTGCATGTATGTCCGTGAATCTGTGCATGACCTGGTACCAGCAGAGTAAGAAGAGGGCACCGGATCTCCTGGAACTAGGGTAACTGAAGATTTTGTGAGCTGGCGTGTGGTACTGGGAACTGAACCCAGGGCCTCTGGAAAAGCAATCAGAGCTCTTAAATTTGCATAATATCCTGCAAGATAGGATATTTCACAGGTCCTGGCCAGAAAATTATTTACCCGAAGTCAGAATAAATATAGGACTTCACTCTGAACACATTCTCTTCAAGAATATCAATGGGTTTCAAGGCTAAGTGACTGCACACCATCCCAAAGGAAATGGAACATCAACCTCTCTTTATTCCCACTGACGGACCATGTAGAGCAGTAATAGGAATGATTTAAAAGCTGGACAATGGACCGAGCATGTCTGCATGCCTAGGAGAATTCTAGGCCAGGAACTCAAAATGAACTGTCCATTAAAAAAAATAAGTTTCAAGGAATGTTTAAATGACAAGTTTAAAAAATGTAGCCAGTGAGTTTACTATACGTACTATTTAACTACAACTTGTGTTTCAAGAACACAGAAGTTCCTGTTCCATAACCTACATATGCACACATTCAGTTTTCACAGCAGCGCCACGGGAAAATTTCAGTATTGGATAATTTGGGGAAGCTGTTTTCAGGTCCCCACAAGGAAGTCATACCTGACAAAACCACACCCAGATGGAATGATTAATTCATAATTAAATCTAATTTAAAAATAAATTACAACCGGTAAGCAAGAGTGCCAATGGCTTTAGTTCCACACAAACAGTTGAAACTGCTCATCTCCATGTCCACCTCTCGCTTTTTATAATACAGTGTTCGAGGTTCCCAGAAAGGACCTGTGCGCGTCTGTGAATAATGGCTTCCCCTGGTGACGTTTATCAGTTCCAATGTGCCAGCAAGTGCAGAACTTAATTTGATACTTTGAATACACTCTGTATTAACTAGAAACCAATGGAATAGTGATCAGAAATAGGTATGCATGCTGGGGCACTCGAAAGGTCAACACACTGGCATGACTCAGTTTACACATATGCCAGAATACTAATATCTACCTCGCAGTGGTTACAAGAGATATAATTAGGGTCTGCAAAGCACTTTGCAGGTCACAAGATTAAAGGCTGTCTCCGAGGACCCAACACGCATTTCCTGTCGATATTAAGTACACTACGTTTTAAAAATACATTAAAAATGACTTGCAGCATATGTAATTAATTTTTTTGCAGACAACATCTCCTTCGGAGTGCTCAATGATACTTGGGGGGTGGCTGTAGGGGAGAATTATTCAAGTCTCCGTATGTGCTTTTTCTTTCCACTTCGGGGGGCCACTAGGCTGGAGACCCGTTTCCACTAGGCTACCGACGCTGACGTTTCCCAACTTCCTAGCTGACAGATCCACAGGGACCTAGCGCGTCGCTTCCCCAGCTGTCTGGAAAGGAGGCGACGTCACAGCCCCTCAGATTGGATGGGCCGTCGTGGGGAAAACAGACAGAAAACAGGAACGTGGCACAAAGACAGCGGATGGGTCCGGAGAGAGACGGAGGCCGGGGCGGCGCATAGTCGCGGGGACGAAGCCTGACCGCGGCGACTCGGGCGAGCAGGGGACGCCCGCGGCAGCCGTCCTTCCGGAAGAGCCTCGGCCCCGCGACCCCCGGTTCCACTCGTTCCGAGGCCGCCGCACTCACCGGCTGGTCGACGCCATCTTCGTGGCTCCGCCAACAGCTTCTTCCCAAGCAGGAAGCGACCTGGCGACCGGACGCTCCGAGCCGAGCTTTTATACGCGAGTCACCCGCGCGCAGTTTGCGCGTCTACGGGTCGGGAGGCGGGCCAAAAAGCAGGCGATCCTAATGACGCAAGCTAAAGGCTTCCTGGTTTTCTTTGCTGAGTAGCTGTCAGCTGCTGGTCGCTGGAAGAAATTTCCGAGCTACCGCGGATAGAAGCCGGGCGTGGTTACTCACACCTTTAATCCCAGCACGCGGGAGGCAGAAACTCGAGAATCTCTGTGAGTCCGGGGAGCAGCCTGGTCTATGCAGCGAGGCTCGAGGACAGTGAGGACTACAGCGAGAGACCCTGTCTCGAACTAAACAAAACAAAAAAACCCACCCAGGAAGAGTCTCAGAGAATCCAGCGAATGAGTTCAGAGTTAGTTCTCCAGCAAACCAAATCAAAATCCCAAAGAAGTTGCCGGTGGTGGTGAAAGGACGGACGTAAGCATTGGACAAAAACAAAACACCACAAATCAGATGGGTAGATAGACAGACAGATAATAGGTAGGTAGGTAGATAGACAGACAGACAGATAATGGTTGTTAGGTAGGTAAATAGAAGAGAGAGAGAGAGAGAGAGAGAGAGAGAGAGAAGAGAAGAGAAGAGAAGAGAAGAGAAGAGAAGAGAAGAGAGAGAGAGAGACCAAAACAACCCACAAAGGAAACAAAGCTGTTTGATAGGGGCTTACCTCAAACCACTCCTTTACTTTCAAGTCAATTTTCCCTGTCTGATTGAATTTCTCATTTGCCCTGAGTAAAGAATTTGGAATAAAAAGAAATTGGCTTTGGTCTTTAGGAGTGGCTATCAATTCAAGTTCTGTCACAGACCAACAAGCTTCGAATTCCTCCAGGTCTTTTACCTCAACAGTGTAGGGATAGAGTGGATTTGCCTCAAAGGCACTTCTAGAATCGACTCAAGATCAGATAGAGCCCAGTGACAGTAGTGTATGTTGTGAAGGAAATGGAGAATCTGGTCCTGCCATGATCCATGTTGTTTGTCTTTCCCCAAACATCACTGGACATTGAACTGAAAGCTAAGAATAGAAAATTTAATAAAACACCTAATGACTGTAAAAGGGCCTATTGTACATTTATTTATTTATCAGTTAAACTAGTATCAAAATGGAAATAACAAGGCAGGTCTTGTGGTTCATCCTTGTAATCCTAGGAGGCAGAGGCTGGAGGCCCAGAGATTCAAATCCCGCATGGACTTCAGAGTGGGAGCCTGTCTCATTCCTTCCCCGCTTACTTAGCAAAGGTATTTGTAGCAGCATTTCATTTGTATTTTAATAAAAGACCAGGCAGTGGTGACATACACTTTTAATCCCAGTAGCCACACTAGTTGCCATAGAAACTGAGCTGTGTATGCCTTTAATCCAGCCCTAGAGAGGATTATAAAATGGGAGGAGACAGCTCTCAGGCTCAGTCTCATTCTGAGATTCCTGGAGGCAGGATCACCATTTCAGCCTGAGTTGGAGATAAGAGCCAGTGGCTGGCTGTTTTGCTTTTCGAATCTTCATGCTGAACCCCAATTTCTCTTTCTGAGTTTCTATTAATCATGCTTCATGTAATAATGCTACTCCTTTGTGAATGAGCCTCCTGGTAAAGTTGGAATTAAAGTAACTGCAAGAGAGGCATCTTCCACTGAGATAAAAACTCAAATATTAGCATTAGTAAACACTTTCTTTGTTAATGGAAACCAAGGGCCACTAAGCAGTCATTGTTTTCTTGAACAGAGTAGAAGCTAGGAGCTTGCTTTAAAGAGCCAGAGTTGCTGGGAATGTAATCAGTTGGTGGACTGCTCGTCTGCAAGGCATGAAGGCCTGGGTTCAGTCCCAGCACTGCAGAAAAACAGGTGTGCCGGAGCCCATCTGTAATCACCACTTGGAAGGTGGAGACCGGAGGAGGAGTTTGAGATCATCTTTGGATACCTCACGAGTTTGAGGCTAGCCTGGAAAGCCAGTCTGTTGTAAGCACTCTGTGCCCTGAGTAAGTTACCCCAGGGGATTTTTAGACAAAGCCTTTGACTCCGTTTTGAGGGCGGAGAGTGACTACTGGTTTCTCCCCACAGTATGAGAACGAATTGAATGGCAAGGCTCAGTGGATTCAATGGTGGCAGTTTGTCATTAAGCCACCTGGTTTGGTAATCTGGCTGAGGCAATGCACGTTCTCTTATTCCAACTGGCATGGCTAATGTTAGCTCTCCTATCCCACAGCACACTGTACTTGTATCTGTATATCTGGGTGCATCTATGTGGCTTACAGAAGCACATTGGTTAAAGAGGCTGCAGCAGAGTTCAAAGACATTAGATGTGATCTGACAGAGAGATTGTATTGATAACAGAACAGATCGGTGATGTAAGGCAGCCGAAGCTGGAACTTCTGGGGTCAGTTTGGGTGGGAAACCGTGAGGTGAAGGCGGGATTGGGATCTGCGAGTGGAAGACGGAGCATCCAGGTCCAGAGAGGTGGAAGATGTTGAAGACCAGCTTTGACGAAACTCATACATTCCAGGGTAGGAGCGTGAGGATTAGAACCATTAAGCAAAAGGAACAAAGACATAAGCGAAATAAGAGACAGAAACACATAACAGCATTGGGAGGGACATCCAGGGAATACTGAATCGTGATTCTGTCTGCGTTTATTTTCCACGTGCTTATATACTTCACTCCAAAAGGGGAGGAGAGAGTGCAACAGACTTGGTTAACATGATACAAGGAATAGACTTGAATTCTCCAACCTTTGGTCCAGATGGTGTGGATCCACCTCTTTATCCAAAATCCAACTAACCATGCCCTGAGTCAGAATCTCTTATTTGTAGCCATATCTGATGTCAACAATTTGGAGAGAGCAAAAATAAGCTCAAACTCCCTGACCGCCAGTCGAGGTGGAACAGGCTCACATGCGATGGATGTGAGCATTTGAGCAGGCTCACAGAAAGATGAATGAGCAGGCAGTGGAGCAGAGGCTAGACAGGGAGTTGAGCTGAAAGGGGGTCATCAGGAACTGCTCCGCTTGTTGGTCCCTGATTTCTACACTAGCTGTTAGGTGACAGGTTGGTGTGTGGTGGTGATATCGCACTGCTAGGTGTCTATCTCTTTACGGAGTCCAGGTGAGGGTCCGGTAATCTTGAACCTTGTTTCCCAGATATGATTTTAATGCCCCCATGTGCCTTTGCAGTCTCAATTCACGCCCATACTTTATTTATACTCTATATAAGTCATTTATCGTTCTGTGCTGCCTGCGTAATTTGCAGATCCACCCAGGGGCTGTAGTCATTCTCCTCTGTCAAAATTGAGTCTAAAACTCTTTGTAAAATGGAGTCTCCTATTGTAAGGCACAGCCTAAGAAAACACTGGTTTACACATGTGGGTAAATCTGAATTGGCCATAGACACTGTCACAAAACCTAAATTCATTAATCAATTTAAGAAAGAAGTATGAACCACACCTAAGGGCAGTCCCTCATCGCTGACCCCAGCAGCAGATACCAACAAAAACAAAGCAACTCAAAGGTAGCTTTGGATTTTTTTTGTCTCATATTGTTTTGTTTGGACTTTTTTTTTTAACCTTACTGGTCTAATGCTTGTATATTATGATTTCCAAGTTTTAGTTTTCATGGGTGTAAATATTTCTTGTAATCTTTCTTAGTTTCTTTCTTTATTTCTTTTTTGCTTTAGTTTGTTTTGTTTTATCCTTGCTTGTCTTTTTTTATTTGTCTAATTCTTCTTTGTCTTTTTGAGACAAGTTCTCTCTCTTATGTAGCTCTGGCTGTCCTGGAACCTTACTATGTAGACGAAGCCGGTCTCAAACTCACAGAGATTCACCTGTCTCTGTCTTCCAAAGGCTAGGATTGAACGTGTGCACCCCCACACCAGGCTGCTTCTTTTCTTAAGCGAGAGTAGAAGGCTTGAGGTTGGAAGGGTAGCGAGGATCTAGGAGATGAATGAGGAGAGATTGAGATCAGAATATAATGTATGAAAATAACTTTATTTTTAAAAAGTGTGAGAGACATGAGCATAGAAACTAAAATCTGAGTGGGGGATGGGGGGCGCATGATTACCCTACCTCAATCTGTCATTCTTTAATTCCAAATTGAAAACTTGCCTCTGCTCACATGGGCTGTTTCTTCCCCCTTAAGAATGTGAGAGTTTGCCAGGCAGTAGTTCCCCTTGCGCCTTTAATCCCAGCACTCAAGAGGCTGAGGTTGGTGGAGCTCTGTGAGTTTGAGGTCAGCCTGATCTGTAGAATGTGTTCTAGGACAGCCAGGGCTGTTGCACAGAGAAACCCTGTCTCAAAAGAAAACAAACAAACAAAAAGAATTGGGAGAATTCCAAAAATGTCATGACCCATTTTAGTGTGACAAGAGCACTAGGCAGGGAAGGGCCCCACCAGTAGGGAGCTCACACCCCACAACCAGTGGTGCTTTCCCCGAGAGCATCTTAAGTGGTGAATGAAAGGGAAGAGGGCAATTGGGAGTACTCAGAGGACCAGAAGGACCCGGGGGTTCACAGTAGACAGCTAACAATGTTTGTTGAGGGGAGAAACCACTAAGGAAACTGAAACCCCAGAGCGGGGAAGGCAGAGCAACTGGCGACATTTCCCTGTCCTCCTCCCAGGTCTTTTGTTGCAGACTTGCAAGGGTTTCTTTGTTAGTGTGGCACTAACAAAGCAATTGTTAAGGTCTTTGCATCCTCATGTCCAGATTTTATTTCTGATCTTGAGTTTAAGACCACATGCACCTTTGAGTTTCATCACCTGAGAACCAGAGACTTAGACCAGCTTTGACTACAATGAGAAGTAATATTTTCTGTACATTTATATGCAAGAGATCATAATAATTTTTAGAATAAGACTTTTTATGGGTTTTTTTTGTTTGTTTGTTTGTTTTTTTTTGAGACAGGGTTTCTCTGTAGCTTTGAAGCCTGTCCTGGAACTAGCTCTTGTACACCAGGCTGGCCTCAAACTCACAGAGATCCGCCTGTCTCTGTCTCCCGAGTGCTGGGATTAAAGGCGTGAGCC